GCGACATTGCTCTGGGGTCGAATAATTTAGTCGACTCAGCGGAGCGACAGAAACAGATTCTCGATTTTTTCACGTACACCCCAGTCCAACTAAACCCAAACGCGACAGATGCACATACTTGGATATTTTTTTTTTATTTTTTGAGTGCGCTCTGCGAGCTTATACACACGCGGGGATGAAACACAATTTGTTGATACTCGAGAGCAGGTATAGTGCACGCGTAACCGGATCGCATTAGCGCGTTTGTATAGACGAGGGTGTAGCTTGTACCCTTAAAACCTTTGTTGATCAAAGAACAAAATTAGAATTGTACCTATGCGGAATATTACCCAAGCTATTCATGGTGCACGACGGTTTCAAACGGAACGGCAATTTTAGAGCATCTCATTGGTCAACGACTCGTTAAAAATGGGTTTCCCGGTACAATTCGTCATAGACGAGTAATCGACTAATATAATGATTTTGAATTTCGGCGTGACGTACAGCGATACATAGTATAATAGGTTATAGATACAACTTAATTCCGGACATTTGCTGAGTTAGTCATTTCTACGAAAAATCGTACTCGAAACAAAACCCCGATGACTTGTAAATTGGGTTAAACCCCCAAATAAGTGGGGAAGAAATCCGAAAAAATCAAAATTGTATCCCTCGCAAGGGGGCGCGAGCTAATTGCAGAGAGTACACCCCTACACTCCCTATACCTACATCTAATATACATATAGTTATAAAGTCGACCTCGGAATAAGTGGATATTTTCAGACCCTCCCCCTCATAGGAGGACCCATCGGATGGACACACAGGATGAATCGCTTCCCGTGACGGGCAAATTAGCCGTATGATTTATTAAAGCCGATATTCGAGTCGAAACGCGAGGTATACTCCTCGAATATGTTCAGCTGGGCGCGTGCGAGCTATCTTGTCCGCGCGCCCTAAATGTATAAGTGGGGAGGAAAAAAAAACAAAAAACAAAAAAAAAAAAAAAAAAAAAATAAAAGAAAGAGTCTCGCTCGTCATCGGCTTTTCCCTAAAAAATTCATCCCACCTCCCCTCCCCCTGTGGGGCAAAGTAAGAAAACGCCCGGCGCAAAGGAAAATGCACCCTCGGCTATACGCGGGAAGAAGAAGAGTGAAAAAAAAAAAAGGCCAGTCATACACCCTTTAAGCCGGGGAGGGAGGGATTAAAGACGAGACGTGGCACAAGTGCCAGCAGGAGCGTATATATATATACGTGTTATATAGACGTAGGGAAGCTCTGCAGGTACATGCACCTATATAGAGGGGGGTTGGGGGCGAATGAGGTATATATGTATACACAAGGTAGGGTGAATCGAGAGCTTAAAAACAACAACAACAACAACAACACGGAGAACGAAGCTCGCAAGGGTGGAGTAAGCAACGCAGTCGGCGACCGATAATTTTACTTGATAATGGCAAACATGTACCTATACGCGTATACCTTTACACAAAGTACGTGGTAAAGTGACGAGGGTATATATATATATACGAAGCGAATGAGCGTATGACATTATATGTACATATACTACGGGTGTATACCTACGCTCATCTGACCTACATAATATAAAGTGACCTAAAAGCCCGCGGTGCGCGCGCGCGATTATATATACACGCACACCCATCCACCTACTCTCTCTCTCTCTCGGGTAAAAGCTCATAATTCGTGTAGTATATACTCACGATAGCGCATACTACGTAAGTATGGGAGTGGGAGAGAGTACAGGCAAAGAGCTGTACAACATTATGTAGTAGTAGTAGTAGTAGAGGGTGGAAGAGCATCGGAGTGCACCCCCGAGAAAGTATATATATATATATATATACCTATACGTCCCGCAACGGGGTGGGCCTCATGTGACGCACACACCATGTATAGGTACCCAATGATGGGCATACGCTGGCCTAATAGCTCTGGTATTTAATTTGTGCAACGTCTCAAAGGCACATTATACATATATATACGCATCCCCTCTCCTCGAGTGCTCCTCCTCTTTGTATGCATACGTACACTCTCCGTTTAGCCTGGCAGTTATCACCTGTAACTTCTCGCATCATCGCACCCACCGCGCGTCAAGGGGGCGAGCGGTCAGATCGACGCGGGTCACATCGGAAAACACCCACACACACATGTGCGTAAACATTATATACCATACACACTCTCTGTCCAAGGACGGCCAGTTTACGCAGGCGCGCGAGCTTTCGTTCGTGCGCGATGCATCCCCCTACCCCCCATCTGTACCCTTTGCTCGCCCTGTAGCGCAGGTGCGTGAGATATATAGGGATGTATGTACCTGATGTATAAACGTGTACTCGGTTCGAGAGTTGCCATGACCCGAGAGAGCGAATTAACGCTCTATAGACCGGGGGCGCCGGGGCATATCGATACAAGATAAAGTCATTGCACACAGGTACATGTGTAAGTTCGTATAGGTACTTTTAATGCGTCCTGCTACTGCTTCAGTGCCCCGTGTTTTACGTACGTATACACATAGTATAGCGTTAGCGAAAAAAAACAACAAAAAAAAGAAATTAAAAAAAACAGGGCCGTATAACATTGGAAGCTATAAGCAAGTACAAGCTATACGNAAAAAAAAAAAAAAAAAAGGAGGGATGGCAAGATATAGGAGCCATTTCATCTTTCGAATGCAATCTTAAAATTCAAAGCTCACCTCATGTGCAAGATTAATGCCCGAGACGGGGGCCTATACATTGTGTACAACCAGCACGAAACGTAATTGAGCGCGTGGGCTATTTCTCTTTTACGCAGACGTATACGCACAATAGCCTTCGGGCCAAACTCTCGAAATAGCACCAACAGGCAATAATAATCCACAAGCAGTATACAATGATCATGCCTCATGAATTTCGGTGATACGTGTGTATACACACCGACTCCCTTTCTCTCTACACGTATTTACATGTAACGGCCCCTCTTGTGACCGAAGAAAAATAAGTAAGGCTTTTTGCATACGGTGGAATAAACGGTGTAGATCCTGCCGGGTTATCATTGGGAGCAACTCCGAATTTCCCGTGTCTCTTATCGTCTCCGACAGCCTATTTAACCAGACAGCTTGTTTAAGAAAGAGAGAAAGGAATCAGATTGGAACACGCGTATTACCCATTGAAATATATGTACCCATGCAGACTCGGCAAAGATAACCGTCATCGCGAGTACTTGATATATGTATATTATACATACGTAAACGCACCGACAGATATCCCATGCACGCGACTGTCCGCTTCACTTTTATTTTTGCGCGCGATTATACAGCCTCACCAAGTCCGAGGGGTTTCAAAAAAAAGCTTGACCCTTCGACCCCTTTTCTCTCTTCCCCGTCCGCACAGTTAAACATTTTAACGTTCCACCCACCAAATGGTATGTAAGGGAGGGTCGAGGATGCTGGCTTCTCGTATTTCTCCACCCCCCCCCCCCAGAGAGCGCAAAAAAAAAAAAAAAAAAAAATAAGCAGCCTCCGCTCGAGTGGACCCCAACGGGGCGAGAGACGGCCAATACCCTTGTTTTCTCCCTTTACCGCGTGTTTATTTGTCGTTTCCATACAAGTGTATATTAATTTTATTCATACCATGTAAGAAACATGTATGTATGTATGTATGTACCTACATGTAACAAGTGAGCACACGTGTACGTATATATCTCGTGTGCAGCCGGCAGGCAAGTAGGTATCCCATATCTCTTTTTCCTCGCGTGCGAGAGTATAGACGATGTGGGTTATACGGGCTGTGCAGCCCCTATCCGACGACGACCCCAAGCCATACAACCATCCCGTTTTCGCCCACCGCCTGCCGCGCTCGTGTATTCATATGTATATATATGTATTATCATCGTCGGGCGGAAAAGGGGGTGTGATGGGCGGGGGAGAGAGAGCGCGCGCGCAAGCTTGTTCGAGGGGCGAGGGTGGGGGGGGCACGCCGGCGCGACGATTTCTCCGGCTCTTCTGACGCATTGCAGGTGCGCGCCGACCAATCACCGGACGCCGTAGCCGCCGCCGCCGCTGCTGCTGTACTCTCTGCTGGCTTCCCTTGCGGACACACGACCGTCGGCTCTTTCGCTCCGCTGCCCGACTCCTCACCGGCCGAGCCATCAAAGCCGACTCCTCCGCGCTGCAGCTTATATACATACAATACCTATGCACCTCTATGCGCTTCTCCGCACTGTTGTCCCATCTACACGCGTCTCTATACACTCGGTTTATACCTCAGAAGCTCAAGCTCTTCTGCACCCCCGTAAGCTACAACTGACGCTGTATCAAACTGTTACACCATGATGCGTGAAGACGCACGTGTGATTGTTTACTTTGTATGCCTTACTTACAACTTATATACTTTCACTCGCTTTTGCGCCTTACCCCCCCCCCACACCCCCCCTGCGTATAAACAAGAACCGCGCCCCATGAACGCCGGTATGTATATGTATTACGCTGCAACGCCTCGTGCATGTATCAGCCGTTTCTTTGTAGCTTTCCTTGGGAAAAACCAAGTTATTTCGTTACGACACAATGCGCATGATAACAAAGGGGGGGGGGGAAGAGAGAGAAAAAACAATGAGTGAGGATTCCCTGCTCTACTCTTGTGGCTCATCATTAAGAGAGGCCTTTTTTTTCCGGGGCGTTTCTCGCTTTTGTCCTTCCAACGGATGATCATTTCGGATGTATCAACGAGGAGCCGACAATGGAAACACGATTATTACGATGAGACGAGAGTATTCGATGTGTGTGTACAAACACCAAGTTGCTGTTTTTTTTTTTTTTTACTACTACGTACAAGATGAAAATCGAAAAACGACGAAACAAATGATCGTACAATGCACGTACCCAACATTGTGATGTATGAATTCAAGAACAGCACAAAGTTTCGCGGGCGAGTAAGTGTATATCCTATATACATGTATAGTTGTAGGGGTCGAGAGGACGCGCGCGCACGTTAAATATCAAAAGCTCTCGCCGTCTCTTTTTTCGCCAGCCGATCGCAAGCTCATACGGGCAAACTCGTGGGTGAGACGCGGAGCAGTCTTACGGCCGACGTTTTCTCGACGAGAGGCACACGACGTTAAAATACACTTTGCTCTCACTCAGGCACGCGTTATTATTATCATTGTTAATATATATTAATATTATTATCACAGTGCAAACTCGCCGCTGCAAGTTTCGCTCGTAAGCCTCGGTTTTTCTATAACAATATATATGTATATGCATAATACCTAAGTATTGCGACTAAGGAGACGACGGTTTCAGGGTTTACGACCTACATTTGGCGGCAGTGCAATTTTTCTTGTACACATATAAGTAATATCTCTCCTCAAATAACTTGTACTCATCTTACATGTGGTGTATTACACACGTTGTCGCGCTTCTGCTCCGAAAGCTCTAACGGAAACACACCGTACTTTGCTTTTGTGCATTGGATCTAGTGAGACATTAAGGATAATAATAAATAATAAGTATTATCATTATTTACTCTTAATACTTGTGTGTGCCGTCGCAGCAGCAGAGAGACTCGTTAAAAAGAGAAAGAGCAAGAGAAAAGGACAAGACGACAAACTCGCCGCGCGCACGGAAAACATAGACGCACGTCGTTCGGCGGCTTGCTATACAGTCTTGCACAGTAGTAGCGGTTCGTCTGTTGGTGGTGCGTGTACGCACGTCTTCGTAATATATATAATTATATACGCCTATAGTGTATAATATATTCTAACCTCTTCTTGTCTCTCTGCCCGCCTTTGCCCCTCTCTCGCGCTCAATCTTCCAGCAGCAGAAAGATTGGCTTGCACCTATATATACGTTTATATAGTATACTTCTTCGCTTTCCAAGTGGGCATTGTCTCCGAGTTTCTGCTTAAAATTTCTTGGGAGCGAGCAAGAAAAACATTGTAATTTATTGTCTGGCTCTGCGGTACTCTCGCAACAGAGGAAGACGGAAAGTGTGCTAACAAGCAGCAGCAGCAGCAGCAGCAGTTCTCGAAGAGGACGTAGAGAGGGAGTTCCGGTTCGTCGGACCCGCGCGCACGCAGCGGCACAGTAGAGGTTAAGGATCGTCGAGGAGCTTTAACCGCACCGCGAGCAGCACACACAGCAATGGTGAGTACTTTCATACATCTATACTTTCGTGAGTGTGTTTACTTAGCTTAGGATGAAGTAAAATTCGTTAATCACCTAACTCGTTGTACCAAAAGTTTCTTTCCCTCTCCATCTCAGTAAGCTTAATCCCTTGCCGTAAACAGAGAAGGCGGACCACTGTAGACGCAACGCGCCAGATGTGCTTATTATCAACGCGCAAGGTGTGTTGCACGCGAATATTCAATCTTACGAGTACAAGTACATAATCACTTGTACACCCAAGTATCTCTCGATTATTCATTATACTTGCCTTTAAACGAACGCGTCGTGTGACCCTTGCGACGCCGGCGTTTGCGTGTATACTTACGTGTGTAAATTGTACCTACAATCTTCGTCGTCGAGATGCACTGAACTGCGAGCAAAGTGTATTTTTGTCGCGGCTTGACCTTTCTACTCTCTCGAGCGAAGGGACACCAGAACGTGCGAGAGTAGTAACAAGGAGTGGCAGCTGAACCAGTTGTTTGCTCACAAACTTTGTCCGCAGCTTCCGGAAGAACAGAGTGTGCAGTCAACGGTCAGGCTGCAGTACTTACATGCAAGTGTTTTGTGGCTGATCATTTACGTGGTACACCTACTTACCCATCAGCCCAGGGAGCTTAATTATTTGTGGTGCAAGCACCCGGAGAAGGAGAATTCATAGCCTCGTCCGAGGAGATCGATCGTCCGGTCGGTCAAGTCGGTCTATGGCTGCGTCCAGGGAAAAGTGATGATGTTACATACCAGTACCTACTCATACACTTTGTGTGCTCCTAAAAGGCAAGAGCTTTACAAAAAGATGGTTGTGTATATAACAGCGTCGTCGACATCGTTTTGCACGCCTGTGTTTGTGTGTGTGTGTGCCTACGTGGTATATACCTATAGACGAAGTGGCTTTCAAAAGTGTTACAACCGGTGTCGTCACTTGTTTTTTAAAACCATTGGAGCATCACTAGTATTTCGATTAAACATTATCATAAAAACACACAAAGACTCTCACGATCGAGGCAGATACTTAATAGGTATGTGTTGTGTACGTTCACTCGCAGCAGCCAGCAGCTCGTCCCGTCCTGGTGATGATGATACACGTGTGGAGATGTATAAATATACAATAGTGTGCTGTGCAATGTGCGAGTAAACGATCGTCGGCATCTACTTACAACAGTTATAACAAGCCTTGCCAGCGACGTCTATGTTGTATATGCTTTCGAATTCTAACCTCCGCAGACAAAGTACAATCGTTCGCTGGTTCCTTTGATCTAGAATTTATATTCAATAAACAACACTGAGTACATGGCAAATACAGTACCGAAATATCTACATGCCCAAGTACCTATACCGTGCGAAATACAGGTACATGTACGTTCATAGGTATCATGGGGCAGCATTGGCAGCAAATATGCACATAAGTAGGTACGCATCGTTCGGTTGGCTGGAATTCAAAAGCTGACTCTCGTGGCATATACAGTCGGTATTATAGGCACGGCAGCTGCAGGACGACGCGACGAGCTTGGAATTCGAAACTCTCGGGAAATATTGTTCGCCGATTCAGTACACACTCCTCTTTGTGTAGGTGTGCTCTTTTACGAATATCATCTGCACATCATACCTAAGACCATGATCTACCCAAGCATATAGCTTTTTGGTACAATTTAGGGTTTGCTCACTCACTTGTAGATTACAGATTATTTAGTGAGTAGGTACATGTTGTAACGAGCTGTCAAAACCACTTGTATCGTCTATATTTTTAAGCTCTAAAGATATAAAGTCTGGAGAATTCTTAACTCTATCGACATTTTTTTACATTTTACGGCAGATAAAATCTTGAAACAGTCACTTGAATATTTTGACTTGGAAAAAAAAAAAAAATAGGCGAAGATTAAGAGGATGACAATTAATCGAATAGTTCCGTCAGTTCTTCTCTACACGAACGGCTGTTAAAAAACTTGCGTTGGAAAATATATTGACGTCCAAGTAGTCGAGTGAATATTATGGTTCGCTTGCATGCGTGTCAAGAAACGTGTTTCTTTTGATTTCTCTTCTATACCTATAAGTGTCTTTATCACCGTTACTTACATTCTTCAACACACGCGCGCACGCCTATAACCGACGTTTATTTGTTTTCGTGTCGTTTGTCTTGGTTCTCGATTTTCTTCGTATCTTACTTTTGGACCAAAAAATACTTGTGACGTACACATACCTGCATGAGAATCAACTGGTATACAATTTATAATCCAAAACTTGAAAATATTTGTGAATCACAGTTCAGGGAAACGTGAGATAATTCGTACGTAAATAAGGCCTGACACAGTTTCTTTAACCCTTCGGAGTTTTTTTTTTTTTATCCAAACTTATGCTGGTCTCAGACAAATTCGTTGTCTTTTAATTTCGAAAAAATAATGATTTTACGAGGTTCACTACGATCTAAATAACGAAAAACATATTCTTTAAAATTCAAAAAAATCTTTAATTATACAATAAAAAATTTCGAAATTAAAAAAACAATTGTAATGCAAGGGAAAAAAAAAACTTTGTTGTTTGATTGTTTTCCCCTAATCTCGCCCCTAACGCTTGCCATGCAAAAGATTGAAAAAAAAATGTTAACAATTTCCTCTTGTATAATAACTCACACGACCTAGTAAAAAAGGAAGAAAAAAAAAAAAAAGCTAAAATAAGTGTCATACCTCATTAGTGATAGAATCCCCTCACATTCGGACCGTACAAAAGACAAGAATCTTTTTCCGGGAGCCGCGTGGTCTAAAAAAAAATATTTCCTATCCCCAATGCGGGACTCCCGTATTGGAAATTTTTTCGAACCTGCTCATACCTACACGTGCATAAACGCGTTTGTGCATCTCTCTGCGTAAAAAAAGCCAAAGCTTTCCCGGGTCCGGGGCTTTCTTTTCCTCGTTTCGTCGTCTCGCTCATACGTATACACATTCATACGTATACTTAGTCGGCCCGTGACGGTTCATACGATGACAAACCTGCAGAAGCTGTCTGTCGGAGCTATGGTGAGCTGATTGGCATTTGCAGTGTAGACCCACACCAACCGTTGGCGTCAGCGTATATGTGCAACTTGCAAGACCTGTCTCTCTCTCTCTCTCTCTCTCTCTCCGCTTTGCAGCAGCTGCAATTCAACGGCTTCCTCTGCACACATGGGATGTGTATATATGTATGCACACCCGCACGCATTACAAATTACAATACGTGTTGGATCACACGATACACATTGCGCACACTATGGGCCGGCTGAATGGAATATTATGCCCCTTCCTTCCCTGTACACCTTTCGTATGTATACCTCGCGAGACGAGAGACAAGAGTCAAAAGAAGAAGAGCGAAAAGAGAGAGAGATAACACGTATATTATATATATATATATATATATATATATATACACGACACTTGTCCGGTGCTTCTTGCCCGGAGCGCAGTAGCTGCCGTTGCCTACGTCCGTATGTGTACTTATATATGTATATACATGTGTATTATGTATATGTATAGACAGGGCGTACATGTTATGAAAGCTCGGCTGATGTGTGTCCGTCCAGCTAAATCGATTTAGTCGGCTATTTTGGCCCGTGATATCGAGGAGAGAAAACTGAGATCCCCACGCGCTATATACGTGACTAATTTTCATCTCCTCTCGTCTACAGCATCTCGTGAAAACCGAGGTGGATTTTTTTTTTTTTTTTCTGTTTTTCCTCGTTAATTGTTTCGATATATTATGGCGTGTATGTTGTTCGTCACCGAGATTATTCTGCTCCCACCTGTAGACGCCAAGAGCCTCGAAAACATTCACTCTTTCTTATCCGACTCTGTCAAAGGTGTGCGGTTTTTCGAGTATATATGTATAGGGAAGACCGGGGGGCTAAGTAGTTGGAAGCCAAGTCATTTTCATCGGTTTTTGTGGCTAATTTGGCCGTACGTCGGCATAATTATTTTCGGCTATTATAGATGATTTCCAATATTTTTTTTTTTTCTTGCTATCTTTTATTGAGATTTAATCTTTAGGAGCAAAGCACGTGTATAAATTGAATCGGAAAAAAATATTTGCTGCTTCAATGACATCTTGGATAAGTGCTTTTTTTTAACTTGTAAGTGGCCATTTCTTCCATTCGTTTAATGAAAACGCAAAAAAAAATGAAAAAAAAAAAAATCAAGAAAAATTCATCGATATCGCCAAAAAGCCCCAGTTTTCCCGAGAGAGAGAAGTATAGAGATGTCCCACCTTATACACACACGCACACAGGTACTCACGCATGTGGAGCGCATACACAACATAACTAATTGTAACGAGTGACTAATAGACCAGCCATGCGACCGCGGAGTCGCCGGCCAACGGCCGGTTATTCTCTCTCTTTTGCCATGTAGCTTTTGCCTGCCTATAGCCGCGTGTGCGACCGTTGGCTGTCCGACTCTGTCTCTCTTTCGTCTTGCTGTACCAATGTATACATGCGTACATATCTATATTTGCCGATATTATACTCATACTTTCTAATACCAACTAGACAAAAGAAATCTTCTCTTCGGGATGACCAAAAATTTTACTGTCATTTGAGAATATATATTTTTATTGGATTGACGAGGGTTTATCAATTTTCCTCACAATTTTCTCAAATAAAGACTTATTTTATCTGGCTAATGTTAAAATTATATTTATGACTGAGTTTTTACATGCATATGAAAATCCAATATTTTGCGTTTAGAAAGAAAACAAAAAAAATCGTACAAATAATAATTTATTACCTTATGAATATTAGTATTGTTTTTTAACATCAATTCCAGTGTATTACTCATTTAGATTGAAATAGGAAAAAATAATTATTTAGTAGTAGTAGTATCAACAGCAACTTAAATTTTAATCTAAAGTAGTACAACCAAAGCAAATATCGATAAACACGTTTCCCATGTTGTACATTAAGCTTCGAAACATTTGGTTAAAAAATGCATACCTTTCCTCTTTAATATAAATTGAAAATC